TTAAGGTATCTTGAAAAATATCAGGTAAATGGACTGCACTTATTATAGCACCTTTCTAGTCTTCCAAACCACGCCAAGTACTTTCCTCTACATATTCATCCATCCTGCACTGATGCCAGAGGCTGCCATGCAACGTACCAACTGCTCATCAGAAACGAACTAATCACATTCACACACAGATGGCACAGCGTCGGGAGCAATTTAGGGTTCAGTTTCTTGCTCAAGGACGCTTCATAGTGCAGAGGGAGGAATCGTGGATCAAACCGCCACGACCGACCCGCTCCACCTCATGAGACACAACCGTGATAGAAATAAATTAAAGTCCCCCTGTTTCTGTTTTCTTCTTGTTCCTACAGTGTGACGTTTGACTGTGCAGAATGATGCATGTGCAGAGTCTGACACTAAAATTATGTTTTCAAATTCATCTGCTGAAAGTAGAAAGTTTCTCTGAGCTCATAGAAAATCTGATTTTTAAGGGGCGGGGCCTGTAAGCATGATACGTGACATCGCAAATAGTTTGGGAGTCAGTCGTGGTCGAGTATGAAACTTTTTTATACATATCCGACACAGCTTATTGTTCCAAGCAGACTATTTGATGTATGTCTTTATACAGGTCTGGAGTGGCTCTTTAAGTAAAAGGTGAGTCAGTCTTTCACCAGACAGACTTGTTTGTCACTAACTGAACACCACTCGCATCTGTATTTGACGACCTGGGAATAGGTGCAGGCTGTAAAGTGTGTAAGAGAAACTCCTGACAAAATGAACATGCTGACGTTTAGCAGTTGTAATGTGTACCGTGTTGACCATCTCGAGTTTTGCAAGATTTTGACCAGATGGCAGCACTAAAGGAAACGGGATCAACAAATCTATTATAATTCCTCCTGACGGGAACATGAATGTTTATACCGAGTTTTCATAGAAGTTCATCAAACATTTTTGACTTCAAAGCCACAAATATTGACCTCTGGGGACCATGAATACATGAATGTACACATTTTAATAGTAATAGTTGCTAAAAAATATGAAGTCTCACAAAAATAAAGGACACAAGTAGTATTAAGTATCAGTGCATCAAAAATGTACTGCAGTAATCTTGTTACTGCCCACCTGCGCACATTAAAGTCAATATGAGGAGGAAAAAAATATTCTATCAAGTCGACAGAAATAATCAGTCATATCCCCACCAAGATTCATAATGAATATGAGACAGTGTTTACCATCTGCTGTCAGTGCTGCTCCAAAGATCCCTGAAGGACGTTTGAAATGACTCACAGAGCAGCTGCCAGGTGATGCTGCAGCGTAGAGAACGTTTCAAATGGCAGAACTCGCTCTTGGTGCTGTTTAATATCTCACAGAGATTATAGGCGTTCTGTGGTGGAAGAAGTACTCAGATCCTTTAAGGAAGTAAAGTAGTAAGTAAGTATAATACTGCACTGTGAAATAACTACAAGAAACATCCTGCATTCATGTGAATTAAACGTACAGCCACTAGGGGGTCTCTCATCGAAACAGTAATAAAAGATGAAGTACGTCGTGAGGCAGCGTGGGATCATGGGAGTTGTTATCTTTGCCGTCATTGCAGTCTCCTCCTCTCTAAACAACCCCACTGAAAACACTGCAGTTCCACCTTAAAAATCAGTGTTTCTCCCGGGCTGCGAGCTGAGCTGCGGCTAACGTTAGCTCAGCGTGACTTAGTCGTCTTTCTCCACCAGTGGATACAAAATGTGTGCATGTCAGCAGGATATGATTTTATCTGTAACTTTGATTATTTCTGGACTAAGCAAGCCCTCTACGAGTTGGACGGCCTCCAGCCAAACAAATAAAGGAACCAAGCAACTGGTTTCTAATTTTATTCACCTCAGCATGACCCTGTCCACAATTCAGTGTTTCAACAGTGAGATGTTAAAAAGTAATTTTCCTGTT